TTCAAGGTGCTTTGAATGAATTGCACAAAGGGTCCTGAGGAGCTATAAACCCTTAATAAGTAGGTTTGACTAAAAGAGACAAAGAGAATCACAATTTTCTGTGATAAAAAAGACGTAACCATGGGCTGATGGACTGATTCTGCTTTTGCCATGCAAATGATTTTTAGCCACAGAAACGCATACAGCCACATAATGTTATAGAAAGAATAAATGAAATGAGCCAATCTAGTATGTATATAAAATCTATATTTATGATTACATTTTGCTGTAAAAGGAGAATATCAGAAATCCATATCAGAATCTTACTGATCTTTTCTCATTGTATAGAACTGGAATTGATTCAGAAGTGCTGTAGCACAGCTTGTAGCTCACTCAGATACTTTCTTAGCACTTGCTGAGTTTTAATGGCATTTTGTGATTACTTCATGATCTTTTAGTAAATATAATACATTTTAAAATTCAAATTTTCTAATATAGACATCACTGCAGAGCTTTTTTTAAGTACTGCTAAGAAATAAAATGCCATTTTGGGGTGAAGACTGTGTGGTCTGTGCAGGTATGTGAGGTCCAGTATATCTTATTTGGTTTCCAGTGATGACTATTTTTCTTTAAAATCCTAACTTCAGATTGACTTGTGACTAGAAAAGCACAAAGTTGTTAAGATGCTCTCTCTAAATATATTTTTTTCTATTAAAAATCTTTTGCAATGTTTAAAAAAGAGTTTCTATTGAATGTAATTTTTTCAACAAGTCCAGAAATTAAAAAATAAAATTTATTGGGAGTGAAGTACAGATAAGGTGTGGGGAAAAGTATAACATGCCTTAAAATCAACACTTTTATTAAGTTCCTGGTTGTTACATCTAGAAGAATTATGAATGCGGATTCCAGGCTTGTCTTTTTAAGAAATGTTGTGACTCTGTGTGGCAGCTATCACTCTCCCTTGAATTTCTGGATATATAGTTTACATGTGAAGTGATTGAGAAAATATTTTGGCACTAAGTTTTCCACAGATTATGCAAATTCCTACTGGTGAATAGTGGTCACGAGGACATTTGGCACACTGGGTGAAATATATCATGTTTTAGGACATTCTTGTGTAGGATGCAGGAATCCACTGGTTCTGTTCTGGGGCATTTTTTGTGGTTGCTGTGGAGATGTTTTGGATTTACAGCACATAATCACTTCCGCCCCTGCAAGCCAATCTCTAGTTCCACAGGTGAGAATTACTGACTCTGTCTCATACAGACTATAGGTTTTCCTACTATTCCCCTTCCTTATAGTCTCCTCTGCTCCACAGATACCTATGAACTTTCTTCTCAAATTGCAACTAATTTATATAACCAAGTTAAACCCAGAGCTGTTCTCAGCTTGTTCTGAATCTGAAGTGTTCCCTTTAGGCCTGCAGAAGGACGCCCCCCCACCCCGACTTTTAACATGAGTCACATAAAGAGAAAATACCTGTGATTGATAGACTCTAAAAGCACCATTGTCCATTGTTTCTAACTGGCCTGCCCAACTTTAGTGATGTATTTGTGATTAATGGTGAGATGGTTGAACCTTCATGTTAGAGAACAGGATTTAATTTGTGCGAGCATGTAGATTTGTACATAGAGAAAGATTTAGGTTGGGAGGGATCTTGAGAGGTTTCTAATCCAACCCCATCTCCAAGGATGGAGAACCCACAGCCTCTCTGAGCACCTGTTTCATAGTTACAGGGCAGGATGTCTAAGAGTCATTGTACACATATCTTCAGCTTGATCTGCACCTTTAAGGCAATTCCAGTGTGACCTGAATAGATCAAGGTCACTGTAGATGAGTTTGTACACAAGTATGCTAGACCCAGCGCAACTCACATGCATATGTAATGGATTGGCACAGACGCAACGTTCTAACCTGAGCTGTCCCTTTCTTCAAATCAGACAGTGATCCTGAAAGAAATTGGCATTGATGCCCTTTCAGTGTAGCTTAGCTGTGTCATGGAAGATGTTTTATGGCAATAGTCAGTACAAACATAGCAGTCATTCTCCTCCAGTATGCAATCATATTTTCATTTTACTGAAGTCCACCACAAAGGCCTTTAAAAAGTGATTTCTTCCATATGTTACCACCTTCCAAACTACTTCTATGGCTAGCCTATTGAAACTAATCTTACCATGGAGAATCAAATCCCAGACCAAGGTAACAACAGTGTCTTCTTCCACCACCAAAGAACCTGTAATTTCCATCAGCCAGTATCATTGGCACTGGATTGGCTAAAAGCCATTGCAAAGAACTTCCTATCCTTTATCATCAGCAGGTGCTCTGCTCATCTAAGGCTACGTGATAGGTAGAGGCCACAGCAGCCCTGGCTGCAAAACAAAGAAGACTACAGTTCTTCTTTATTTAAATATTTTCAATCAGCAGCTCACAACCATGAGATATTTTGGTTGTAAATTAATTTTTTTGAAACTCCAAATAAAAGTTCCCCCTCATGCCTCCAAGTTTCTCTGCTTTTAGAGAAAATATTGCTGTTCTACCACTTTAGAACTCTATGGTAGAATTGCTGTGTCTGATTGAATAAAGGTGATTTTTCGACTGTGAGAGTGGAATAGCATCCTTTCTCTCAGAACTGAAGGACAAGAGAAAACATTTGACCAAACGCAGTGAGGTTTACTCTACCCCATGGAGCAGAACTCCAAGCTGCTGTAGCTACTACAGAGTTTTCAATAACCAAATTATGTTACAGATTTCTGCAATTCACTGCAGTCTGTTGTTAGAAGTAATGTACAATAGTACTTAACCATAGGGTTTTTTTTAATAAAAAGATTGCTGAAAGCACTTGCAGAATCTTAAAAAAGATTAGCTGCTTAGCACTTTCCTTATGTCTCTTTTTCTATACTTTTTGCTTATCTTAATACTTGTCTCATTTTTTGCTTTTGAACCAATGATTTTTTTTCTATTCCTCAGTAAATTTAAACATGACATTATGTCTTTATAAAATCTGTGCCACAATTTAATTCAGTTTAATGCTGCTATTAACAGCAGACAGGCTCACAATCTACCTTGAGAGCCAACTCAAAGCTGTTCTTCCAAGCAGACTTACTATCTGCTTCTGAGCACAAATTTAGGCATGGCAAAGGCCTCCTTTCTCATCCACTGACCACATGGGATTCAGCATATCAAGCATGCTGAGATGCATAATAGGCCAAGCAAGCTGTCTCTGCACCTGCCCACAAAACAACTGTTCAATTAGGAGAAGGAGTGCTAGAGCATAGTGTGTTTGTTTTCAGCTGTTTCTGTGGTCCACTCTAATACTGTGCTGACACAGAAGCTGTCACAAAGGAAAGAAACACACAAACCATACAGTGATTTCAGGTTTTTTTCCAGAATCATTTTTATTAAAGAAAGCATCTCATGTTTGCAGTCTTCCCACGTGGATGCATTTTCTCAGTCTCAGCTTACTGTTCAAGAGATTGATCATCTGGGATCTAATAAAGTCTTCCATCAGGTATGTGACTCTTTAGCTGACTTTAAAGAATCTCTGAAAGCTTGTTTTCTAAGAGACCCCCTATAATAAATGAATGTGAGCAGAGAGAAGTCCTTTGTTTCCTGCCCTCTCCCATTTTCCTTGTAGCTCTATGACTTTGTCCCAAGTGCCTGCATGTTCTTTTTGCTAGCTGTTCAGTAGCATTTGAGGCTATTTCTTCTGCCCAGCCACTTTTATTTCTTGAAGTTTTTATGACAAATCCACTGGAATATCAGTTCTAAGGTTTTAAAGAACTTTCCATAGTATTGAAAAAGAACATTTATTCATCCAGGTTAGTTAGATTGAGAGCTTTGTTTTTTTACTTTTTGAGAGAATATCAGATCCCTCCATTGTTATCAAAAGCTTGACAAAATAATGTTTCTATCCTTCCCTGATGACAAAAATTTCATAAGCTCATAAGGGTTGCAGCCTTGGGCTGCAAGGCCCCCTTCTGTGGGCCTTGTCCTGCATTTAATAGTGTATAGGTGATCTATTTCAGATCTATTTCAAATCTTTTTTTAATGTTTGCCAAAGAAATAGTCTACCTTTAAAATTTTATTTGCTGATAAGAGGGAGGTTTCTTTCACCGTTGATTTCCAACAATATCAGAATTCCTAGCATTCATAAACCACATCCTTAAATGACTGAATTTAAAGAATAAGTGGTATAGAAATGTTTTGCAGATAACAAATGGGACTAGTCTGCAGGAAGGCCTGATCATCCTGGAGCTTTCAAATGTTTATAAGGATCTCTCTTTCAATAATACGTGCACAGAAAATGCCTTTTCCTCACTCTGAAGGGGTGTGGAAAAGAGGACTCAAGCAAAGATAACTCTATAAGAAATTAGGGAGGAAGGAAATACTGAGAAAGCAATGCAGGGAAGACTCTCCCACCATGTCCTGCCTGGTGGTTGGTAACAGTCCAATTGTGATTTTTTTCTTCTACCATTGGGAGTAGCTAATGAAATTGCCAGCCATTTACTTTTCGTGCCTTCTTATTACCATACACATATACAATGTTTTCCCCATTCAAAGGAGTCCTTTTGCCTGGAAAGGCTGTTCAGCTTTCAAACCCTACCACCTTTCCCAGCTGAAATAGTCACTGCTGTGCTGCTAGATGGAGATGCCCATGTGGGGAAACTTGCATGCCCTAAAATGTGCCAGGCTGCCCAATTACCTGGACAACCACCTTCTGCACATTAGTAAAACTGGGAGCTGCTGTCACCACCTTCTCCAAGACTTTTCTTCCTGGCTTGCAGCCTTACTTGCTAATCTCTCCATGTTCAGTGCTAGCCCTGTTCTGCATGCATCTGTCTGTGTTAGTCAGGAAAAGATAAATCTACCACTACTTTAATGGGGTTGTAGAGAAGATAGAGCCAGACTCTTCTCAAAGATGCACAGCAGAAGGACAAGAGGTAACAATGGAAATTGTAATAAAGGAAATACAGATTAGATATAAGGAGTAAAAAAATTCATAAAGTGGTTAAGAATAGATGCCGCTGAATCTTCATCCTTGAATAAATATTAAAAACTCAGCTGGACAAAGCACTAAGCAACGTGATCTAACTTTGAAGTTAGCCTTGCTTTGTGCAAAAGTTGTCTAGAGACCTTCAGAGGTCCCTTCTTAACCTAAATCTTTCTATGACTCTTATCATTTTAAATCTTTGAAAGGCATCGATGAGAAGGTAGGATACTTACAAACTCTACCTCAGAAGGGAGACTTCCTTTCTCTTCCTTGATTCTCCTTTTTCAATACATCTTCTCCCCACTGTGGCAAACTTAAAAACGTGGAGGTGCTGAATCACCACCCCAAGCACAGTGAGGACAATTCATAGCTTATCCTTTTTGAGACATAGAGGTAAGTTTTATATAACCTCATCTCTGAAGTGCTGCCACACTGAACAGAAGGGACCTCAGTGATGCCAAATAAAAAGCACTTAGGTTTTTCCCATTCCTTTTTGCCTCCTGGTAACAGAGAAACTCTTCTTCCAAGGAGCCTCTGTCCATGTGACTTCTTAGAGAGCATCTGCTCTTTTTCCCTTCACCAACAGGTGTCAGAAGTGAACTATATACATTTTGAATGTTTCGAAACTTCATGTTTTTGAAAGAAATTGTAAAGAACTACTTGCCAGTTTGCTATGTTATATCTACTTATGCTTTCTTTTTAGAAAGTTAATCACAGTGTTATTTCCCTCCCACCTCTGGAAGGCCAAGCAAAGCATGGTTTGGGTGCAGACACTGCAAAGCCGCCCTGCCTTGAAAGGTGCCTGCCTCAAATAACAAAAAAGAGCCTGCAGAATGTGCTCCCCTCTCTTCAGGTGAGTTATGAAGCTCTTGGACATATTGTGTTTCACTGACTAATCAGCTTCTCTCTAGCAGTGACAAGACAGCATCAGTGGCAAAGTATCTATGTGTCTGTTTGGGGGAAGAGAGAAATACTTGAGCGTCAGCAGTTGCTTTCAGTCTTAGTTAAAAAAAGGAAGAACTATAAATACTCAAATAGATAAATTGCTTAGCCATTTATCTGTGTCTCTCTCCAGAGATTGTAATGTACACCCAACTTTGCATGAATGCTTTGAAGTCATCTTCACTTCTGGCATTTTTAAAACCAGCTTTCCTTCTTCTTTCTGTTTTTTTCACCAGTTCTGTATCCACTTCCCTGCCTGTACTCCTCTTATTCCTTTGCATCTTTTTTCCCCAGTGAATGAAGGACCTGCACTACTTACCACCAACATCTCCAATCATTCGTTTTTTTAACTTTTCTCTGCTTCATTGGAGTCTTTCTGTGTGAGAGACTTTACAGGCTCCGTAGGGCTCAGGTTTTTTTGCATCTCTTAGTCTAGAATTCCCCACATAATGCATTTTATTTGTGAATTGAAGAATAATCTCAAGTATTTAGACTTTGAAACTGGCAACTTACCACAGATGAATTATTATAAATTGTTTAATTTTATTAGTGACATGTGTATGAGTTGGCTGAAGTTACAAGATGCAGACTAGCATGAAGGGTGAGGTGTAAAGGGTATGCCTCCTAAATCATTTCAGTTGCCTTAGAAGCTTAATTTTTTGGCCTCCATCACATTCACTCAAGTCCTATATAAGCCAATTATTAAGTTTTTGAATCTGCAAATGAACCATCTCTCCCATTTCATTTTCTGTGAAAAGGTAAGAGCCAAGAGTTTTACAAAGTTATTTTGTTTTTTAAAAGAGTGCTGGAATATATATATTTTTGTAAGAAGCTGCAAAAACAACTTCAAGAAGCCTTTTGCTTGGTTTAAAAATGCCAGGAGATATAAAAATTTCAGTCTAGAAATCGTGATTATGTGCTGTCAGTTTGGGGAGCTTTTTTGTTTACTCTTCCTCGGAAATAACATATCATAGTTTCAACTGAGGCACTGTGTACTGGAATGGGGGTAGAGTCTTGAACCTGGGGCTCAGGGGGATAGCTACAGGGCTGAACTGTGTCAGCCCAGACCTGAACTTAAGCTGTTCAAGTGGTGTCTCTCATTCCTGGCTGCCCTGCTTTTGTAGCAGCTAATACTGCATCGAAGTAGCAAGGTTCCATGCAAGTCTGAAATATGATTTTATTTTAAAACAAAACTGATTTCACTCACACTAACACTTTCTTACCCTAAAACTCACAAACACCAAGATGCATGTATCCAAATGGTCTGTGGAGGACAAGGAATGCCCACTGCCTAGTCCACATCACTTCTCCTGGGTTCTTCTTAGTTGGCAACCATGTGCTAGTTTTTGAATAAAGCTTTTGTGCCCTTCTGAAGCTGAGAGAGATTGTGATCTTTTGTGGGAAGGGACCTCTGGAGGTCGTCTGGTCCAGCCACCCCCACTGAAAGCAGAGCAAACTTAGAGCAGGTTGCTCAGGGCCTTGTCAGGTTGTGAATATCTCCAGAAATGCAGACTCCACGCCCTCCCTGGGCACCTACTCCAATATTAACCCCGCTCAGGGTGAAAACATTTTTCTTGATGTCTAATCAGCTTTTTCTGTGTTGTGACTTGTATCCATTATGTACCTATCCATTTTGTCCTGTGACCATGCACCTTAGAGAAGAACCTGGCTCTGTTTTCTCTGCATCCTCCTGTCAGGCAACTGTAGAGAGCAGTAAGAGCTCCTCTGAAGCTTTCTCTTTTCCAAGCTGAACAAGCACATTTCCCTCAGCCTCTCCTTATACATCATGTGCTCCAGGCCCCTGACCATCCCCTGACCTCTCCCCTAGACTCACTCTGGTTTGTCAATGTCTTTCTTGTCCTAGGGAACCCCAAACTGGACGCAGTTCTCCCAGCGTGGTCTCAAAAGCGCTGAACAGAGCGGGAGAATCCCTTCCCTCTTCCTGCTAGTTATCATCTTGCTAAATACAGCCCAGGATGTGTTTGGCCGCCTTTGCTGCAAGGGCGCGCTGCTGACTCACGTTCAGGTTTTCGTCCATGAGGACTGCTAGGTCTTTTTCTACAGAGCCGCTTTCTTTCAGTTGTCTCCCAGCTTGTCCTGTTGCATGGGGGTGTTCTTTTCCAGGTGCAGGAGTTTGCATTTGTCTTTGTTCAGCTTCCTGAGGTACTTGTTAGCCCAATTCCCCAGCCTGTCAAGTTCGATAGCAGCCCTACCCTCCAGCATAGCAGCCCCTCCTTCTCAATTGGTATAGTCGGCAAAATTGTGAGGGTGTGCTCTGTCCCATCATCCAGGTCAATAATAAAGATATTAAATAGTATTGGTCTAAATATTGATCCCTAAGGGATGTCAGTAGTAACCAAATGCTAGCTGGGCTTTGCACTGCTGATCACAGTCCTTGGAACCTGATTGTCCAGTAAATTTTCCACTCACATTATCGTCCGTTTATCCAGTCCATAACTCACCAATTTAGCTCTAAACATGCAGTGGGAGATAGATAGTGTCATAGTCATTGCTAAAGTCAAGCATATACAGCATCCACTGCTTTGCTTTCATTCAGCAAGCCATAGAAGGCATTTAAGTTGCTGAGGCACAACCTGTCATTGGTAAATCCCTGCTGGCTGTTCCCAGTCACCTGCTTGTCCTTCACATAGTTGGAAATGGCTTTCAGGAGGAAAGTGCTCCATAGCCTTCCCAAGGATTGAAGTGAAGCTGACCAGCCTGCAGTCCCAGCCTGTAGTGTTTACTGGTTCATGGGCTTATTCCTCTCCAGGTGTAGGACTCTGCACTTACCTTTGTTGAACTTTATGAGGTTCCTCTCTGCCCATCTCTCTAGCCTGTCCAGGTCCCCCTGAATGGCCGCACAGCCCTCCGGTCTATCAGCCAGGTAAGTCCTCCACGAGTAACAGGACCTGTGACAGTGATGACAGTGAAGCTTCTTCCTGCTGGAAGAATCCATTTATTTCCTCCTCTTGATCACAACATCACCACATCACCCATATTGTTTTGTCTGCTGATCCCTAACTGCAAGCTTTCAATTTCCTCTCACGCAGCTTATCTTTCCTGAAGAGTTCCATAACCATACACTGAAGCACTCCAGTCTTATGAACTATCCCACCATGCCTCTCTAATCCCAGTGAGATTATAGCCGTACAACTGTACATAGACTTCTAATTTGTGCTATTTGTTTGCTCTACATATGCATTTGTGTACTTACGGACTTCCAGTTGTTCTGCTTTCACAGAGAAGGCTTTCAAAAGAGCCTCCCCCATCAAGCAGTCCCCACATGCTTTCCCACTGTCTCCTGTGCCTTCATTTCTCTTTCGGTTATGATAAATCTTCCCGGACATAACTAGTTAAAACTCTTCCTCTTTTCCTCACTTAGTTAGCAAGCCTGTTTGCAGTGACAGTCTTGTCCTACTTCATCAAATGGGTCCTGTTCCTGCTCAGCAGCCCTTGTTCTTCAAAAAGAAGTGTGTGTGCAAGTCCAAGCTGGCATCTCTGCCCTACTGTGGGCTGCACAAGCAGTCTCAAGAATTCCAGCACAACCCTCCAGTAGACATGCCCATGTAGGACTTAGAGATGGAAAATATCTATTAGATTCTCTTTCTTGTCCTCTGTACTAAGAAGATTGTACTCAGATCTTTAGCTTGTGTGAGTTACTACAGCTAAATCAAGCTACAGCAGTTCGTAGCATTTGTACAGTGTGAGTGCTCATGTATTGAATAAACCTGGAAGATGATCTCCCTTCTCTTATTTAGAAATGTACGTTTTCGTAGTCAGAGTAAAGGCATTTTTATGAAAATGCTTTCAGGGCTACTGGCAGAATTTGCTCTCTGCATAAGTAGGGCATTTTAGCCCCCAAGCATGCTCGTCCTCTCTCAGCACAGAATTGACATGATGATCATTCAAGAAATCCAGCTCCTGCAGTTCTGTCTCTGGGAATGTAGCAGTTTTTTTACAGAGGTAGATGAGTTGAAAATTAACGATATATATGACAACAAAATAAATCTTTTTTTTTTTGTTTGGCAGGAAAACAAAACTCAACGTCATTTTTTGCAATTTAACCTTCCTGACAGTCTTCCTGAAAGTGATACTAGAGACCAAGAAAAACCACCAGAATTGGAAAGCACAAGCACTAATGTCAAACTGCCTATGACAGCATCAGGTAGAATAACCAGAGCATGAAAAAAATGCTGGAGTAACAGGCTGCACTCACAAATAGTGACTGTACACAGTCAGCGTACTCACTGACCAGGGGTCCTATGGCAAATGCTCACTAAAATATTAAACAATTTGAAGGGCAGGAATAAGGACAGGTTCAGTGATTTCTAAAATCCTACTTTAGAATGTATTCAATAGTGGAATAAACAGACTAACAGAAATACATGAATGAGAGAAGTATACAAAGTAATGTATTTTTGTCTAAGACTTATGACAGGTCATACAGATAACAGCAGTGTTTATTGCAATGATAAAACACTTTTTCCCCTGGCTTGTAGCTTTGTCAAATTTTATCTGTTTGGACTAAACTGCATTTTCAGAATCCTCAAAACTGGAAATTTTCTTGCAGAATTCATTCACTTTTTAGTTTAGATGATTAGATGAGTCTAGGATGAATTTAGAATGAGAAAAAAATGTAGTAGCCTTTTACTTTGAAATGATTTAGTAGCATCCCTGCATTAGAGGATGAAGATCTGTCAGTGTTTAACAAACACCCACATGGATGCCTAGAGAATACATTGCTTTGTAATGCTATAATCTTCATACTTGTCTAGATTGAAATAATATAAATGATGCCATGATGTGGTATCAGAATGCAGGTCTTAGTGTGGTAGTAATTTTCCTGCATGGTTAGAATCAGAACTAGAACAGCAGCAGATCTAAGTCCCATTTAAATGCTAACCTCATGCATAAATTACGATACAGTACATCTGAACATCATTTGAACTTAACATTTTGTATCAAAAAACCAAGTACTTAAAAATTTTGGTTAACTAAATTTCATAGCTACGTTATAAATAAAGCAATCAAATAAATAAAAATATATATTTTTAAATGCAGGCTATTAAGCTACTGAAGCAGATAGACAATAGATGAGATTTTAAAAAATATCTGGTACATAACTTTGCTCAGAATCAAATCATTCTTACCTCACTTCTCTTAAAAGTCTTTATGACAGATGACAAGTGTTCTATTGAATGGAATACTATAATAATAACGACATAATAAGTTAGAATCTGGAAAAGAAAACATAAATTTGTACAAAATGTCAAAATTGTGAAATCATAGAAACACTGGGTGAAAGGGACCTCATCTCCTCAACCTCCTGTTCAAAGTGGGATGTTCTATTGCAAAGTGTTCCCTTGTAAAAACAATTTCCCATAAGGTTTCTGACATTTTATTGATCTTTGTTTTTATATTTTTGTTTTCTGATTTAGAAGCCTTGAAATATTTTAGAAACCAGTTAACAGTCTATGAGCAAAAAGAAATTTTCAATTATACAGAGCTATGGTTTCTTGGGCTGGAAGCTAAAAAGATTGACAGTTTGCCTGAAACCCAGAATAATTGTTATGATGATGAACATGGTTCCTACTTAAAGGTAAGTTGAAAAATTATGGTGTTCATTTCCAAATCTAAAGTTTGTAGTGACTGTCTGTCAACTACTAAGTGATCTATGTGAGATAAACGTTGTTTCTACAAGATAAATATGCACATAGAGAACACATCAGTACTAATCACCTTAAACCTCAGAAGAGAATCTTAAAAAGAGACCCACTGTGCCTCTAAGTTGGGGTTGATGCAAGGTAGGTGCATTAAAGAAACATACACTTGTTATTTTCTCTGTCACACTTGTTTAATCAGGACTCAATTTGCTAAAGTCCAGCATCTTTCATAGATATTAAACTCATACACACTTAAACTACTTTAGAGCTAAACTTCAACTACTTTTATCTTTGTCTTTTTGCCTATATCATTTTTTTTCCTTTTGTAGGTTTTACATGACCATATTGCATACCGATATGAAGTGCTGGAGATCATTGGGAAAGGGTCATTTGGGCAAGTGGCTAAATGTTTGGATCATAAAACCAATGAATTAGTGGCAGTGAAAATAATAAGGAATAAGAAAAGGTATGACATCTGACTTTAAACCAATATAATCAACTCTTCATAATATATTGGCAGTAACAGTCTGGGATAATGTGAACAAAGCAAAAAGCAAACCACCTGTACATTAGGCTTTCAGTAAGCACAATGAGAACAGGGTGAAGAAAGATGATGTCAGTGAATCAGAACTGGCCTGGGCCAGGTGGGGAGGCAGTCTCTGAAGGCAGGCACAGGTTTTCCAGACTCCTGGGGAGGTCTCTGCCTGTGTGACATAGTTAACACACAGCACAGTAACCAGCCCCTGTGTGACTGAAAGCAATATCCAACCCCCCTCTCTCCTCAAGATTGTGCAGAGAGCTTCCAGTGGCTTATTTTGCCATGGAAAATTCTGCGCTATGTTCCTAAGTAACCTCTTCTCACTTCTGACGGGTAATACATATTTCAGTTGAGCTCAGCTTGAACTGGAGTCATTGGAATAGCTGTTAATTTTTTCCCCCCAGTGAACACTGAATGTAAAGATGCTCTTCAAAACTGAATCTCTTACTGTGCTAGGTGTGAAATATGGCTCTGTGGAAGTAAATGGAAACATTCTCATTGATTATGGAAGCACAGTTTTTCATTAAAATAATTTTTTCAGATAAGTCAAAATAACTATTGTTGACAGTGGCTTAAATAAGGCTGGTCTGTTTAGACTAGAAAATAACCATAATGACTTAGTGTTAAAAACAGCAGGGGTGAATGGTGAATTCGTAATCATTGTTCCACATGTTGTGCTATACTAACTTAGGCTGAGTTAATTAAACCCTTCCCATGTCATGTGACATTGCAGATTTCACAGCCAGGCCTTGGTGGAAGTGAAGATCCTTGATGCTCTTCTGAAGAAGGACAAAGACAATACTCACAATATCATCCACATGAAGGAATACTTCTACTTTCGCAATCACTTCTGTATTTCCTTTGAACTGCTGGGGTGAAGTATATTTTCCTTTACATGTATCCTAAGGAACATCATAGAACTTGTGCTTTAGAAGCTTTAACTGTGATGCCTTCTTTGGAAGGATTTTGTATCTCTTAATGTTGCAAGAAAGCAATACTGTCTAAATACAGACTCTGTAACTGAATCTTTGATCACTAAAGGTGAATTGACAAAGGACCCCTTCAAACTCCACACAAACAACATGATCTATCCCTTATTTTCTCTGCTGTGTATTGAAGTCTTCCTCTGTGAAAGAGCTAAGGGGGGGAAGAGTAAATCAATGAATTTGGGGTTGGTAAACTCCAGCTAATATGATGTTGACCTGCTTTATTTTGTTTAATAGGAAAAAAATTTGATACAGGTTTCTCTTAGTTGTCAGTCTGACACATATAAATGAAGTACAACATTGCAAATTTTAGCACAGGAAAGCAAACCTTCAGAACAGAAATTCCCTTCAGAATCTGGGACTGAAACAAACTCATGCTTTCTCAATTCTGGTAGAGATGGTAAAGTAGAAGAAAATGCAGGACCTAGTAAGTGTGAACAGCCAATGAACGTCACCTTTTGCCATAGCGTTGTTTGATTTAAAGATAGCTGTATGTATAGAGAATGTGAGCTTAAAAGAACATTTTGTGAAATGATCATTCCATATTATGGGGTATTTTTATATCAGTAATTAAAAATATAACTTCTTCTCGCTTCCTATGAATATGGGCTGAAACGGCCTGTTAGTGACCTTAGGGCCCTGAAATATTCACATGTAACCAACCGCACTTGGTAGAAGTTAGTCACATCATTTAATTCACTACTGGAAGGAGCTAAAATACTACGATGACAGGAGGAATATAAGGACCTAACCAGAGGTAAATGTGAGGATTTTAATCCAGAATGATTTACTGATAATTAAAGACTTCTTTGATGAAAAGGATTTATACAAAGGGTCAAAGCAAAGATAAATGAGAGAAAAAGGAAACTGAATCAAATATTTCTCTCAATTCCCAAATGATAGTTGTCCTTTATGGTGAAAATCAGCACTGCTGTATGACACAGCACTAAGTTCAGTAAGCAAACAGGTCCATTGGCATTACATCTCCATTAGATCTGAGGCTCAAGGAGATGTTGTGCATACTACATACCGAATAGCATTCTCAAGGAGGAAAATAGATAGTCATTTTATTCCGAGTGAATATTATTTCATTTATTTATTTATTTATGATTTTATTTTATTCCTCATGGAGGTATTTACTTTATTTCTCAAGTAGGAAAACAGCCCAGATACTTCCATAATGCACTGTAAACTACTCATGCCTTTAAAAATAAGTTCCATAATCTTTTTTTCTGCTTTTTATCTTCTTCTTCCACCCCTCCCCCCCTCAGAATAAATTTATATGAGTTAATAAAAAAGAACAATTTCCAAGGCTTCAGTTTATCTTTAATTCGACGCTTCACTCAGTGTGTGCTGAGATGTCTACAAATGCTCTACCAGGAAAGAATCATTCACTGTGATCTGAAACCTGTAAGTACAGACATTTCATACTACGGTATTCTGTACAGAATACATTAACTTCTTTTTTTATTGATAGAGAAGAACTGTCAGAAGAATCCTTAAAACACAGCAGGGTATTTGTACAGAAGCTATGATTTATTTCAGACTGTAATAGTAGTAAGTTGAGTAATTCCTCCCAGTGATTCAGTTCTTTCACTACAATACTATACATGGTATTGGGCTGCCAAAATTTGTGCAAATATGGGTCAAATTCAGTTAAAGATTTTTTACTTGGAGAAAGGAAAAAAATTGGAAGCGCCAAAACAACTTATTTAAATATTGATGAAATTAAATATTTCAGTATGAGGGGCTCAATTTACAACAAAACTTAGGTGTTACTCACAAAATAATGCAATTGAATATTCATAAGATAGCCTTTCTCAGGTTATGCTATTACATTCCATATTCATAATAATAAAATTAAGTAGCCTATTAAGTGACCAAGCAAGTCTATAGTACAATATTTAGGATGCTCACCTAGTTCTGGAGGAACATCTGTGTCCCGATTCCTGGTCCTGTAATTGTTGATCATTTGTATTAGGTAAAACATTTCTATTCTCATTCTTAATTTTTTGCAATTTGTTAGGAATTCTTAAATATTCCAGTTTTAGTTTTTTTTCAGGACAACTTTTCTCTAGATTCTTTTTTTCAAAACTGAAAATAAACCAAAAAAAATTTATTCACTCTCCAGTAAAAATATTAAGGATGAAATTTTGCTCTCCCTTTGCATAGTGTGCTTTGACTCATAACTCCAAAGAGTCACATATAGTCTGTACCCACTGTTTCACCAACATCTTTGTCAGACTAATTTACAGTGAGAAGTGAGGCTGGCGAGATAAGCAAAATATCTTTATCAGAAGCAATTAGCCCAGTACAAAATCTGTTCCCAGGCAGCCACCGACAAGAAATGAGGCCAGCAAGATAAATGAGTATAGTCTGTATTTAGATAGAGTAGAATATTATTGAACATTTAGTATGCTAACTGAAAGAGAATTTTGTTCTAATTCTATGATTCTACAATTTCATGACTTGAATTTTTATTATTTGAAACTTACATCTGTTATTCCATCTGCCTACTATGATGTTCCTCAACATAAGGCAGGGTACAGAGCTGCTCTGGGCTTCCTACTAGATAAGCATTGCCTCTAGAACCTGGTTTTGCAGTTAAACACCTTCTTTACAGCATGAGGGTTCCAGTGTTAGGGAAA